AACTCCACAATCTGGGGGTTTTCCTCCACAATTTGGGGATTTTCCTTCACAATTTGGGGGTTTTCCTCCACAATTTGGGGTTTTCCTCCATAATTTGGGGATTTTCCTCCATAATTTGGGGATTTTCCTCCACAATTTGGGGTTTTCCTCCATAATTTGGGGATTTTCCTCCACAATTTGGGGTTTTTCCTCCACAATCTGGGGTTTTCCTCCACAATTTGGGGTTTTTCCTCCACAATTTGGGGTTTTCCTCCACAATTTGGGGTTCCTCCTCCTGCCCCTCAGTACCTGATGGATTTCCCACGTGAGCACAGGGCAGAAATGCTGATGTGGAGCAGGAGGAGCACGTACCTGTGACCAGGGGGTTCTGTTTGAGATAGCTGGGCAGGACGAGCCCAAAGAAGATGGAAAATCCCAGCACGAAGAGATTCCGAGAGGAATTGAGATCGATGAACTGCAGGTTGGACAGACCCACGGCCGTGATCATCCCTGGACACAGAACACCCCAAAAGCAGCTTTTAAGTCTTTTTCCTCAAAAAAAAAACCAAACAACCCAGCAAAATATCCCTGGAGACACCTCCCAGTACATTTGGAATCATTTGTCAGAGAAGTGTGTGGAGTTTTGTTAATAGCACAGCACCTGCTTTTTCTTCTTTTTCCTTTTAATCTGTGTTTTTAGAAACTAGCAAACCTGAGAATCAGTGCACCATGAAACCACATACCACTGCAACCAGAAAGAAAAGATTTTGCAAGATTATTAGGACAGCAGTGTACTCCTTTCTCTGGGAATTTCCTCCTGCTAAGCCGATGTAAAGCACTAACATCACTCTGTATTTCTGAATATTCCTTTGCACAAAAAGACTCTTGAATTACCCAAAACATGCCTGGGGGAGCACGGAGGTTCCTATTATCAAACACCCCTTAGAAGCAGCAAACAAGAAGCCCCTTACCAAAGAGGGTGCAGAAGAGAGCCCCCAGCACGGGGTCGGGCAGCGAGGCGAAGAGCGCGCTGAACTTGCCCACCATGCCCAGCAGCAGCATGAAGGCAGCTCCATACTGGATCACCCTGCGGCTGCCAACCTGCAGGGAAACAGGACAGACAGGGCTCAGGGCTGCCCCAGCCCAGCCCCACACCTGGCTGGTTTATTCTGTCATTTATTGTGTCATTTATTGTGTCATTTATTGTGTCATTTCAGCTCGTTCCTGGCTCCTGTGTGTGTTTCGTTTTGGTGCTGGAGGGTTTGGCTGAACCAAAGCTGCCCCCAGCCCAGCCTCACACCTGGCTGGTTTATTCTGTCATTTATTGTGTCATTTATTGTGTCATTTCAGCTCGTTCCTGGCTCCTGTGTGTGTTTTGTGTTGGTGCTGGAGGGTTTGGCTGCTCTCAGCCCAGCTCAGCCTCCCCAAGCCAGCCCTAAAACCACCTGGGACTGCCACAGACACCAGGAAAGGTGGTGCAAACCACACCAAGGAGAGGTGGCAAATGGAAAATATCAAATCAATTCAGTCTGTTGCTGCCTTGGGACGCTGGAATAAATTAAAGTTCCCAGGTCGTGGAGGGAGGGGCAGGAGTTTTAGGCTTAGATTAGCAGATTTGTGACACCCTCAGAGAGCAGGGCTGAATGCAAATCAGGGCTGTGCTAACACTGAAACCAAGAGCCTGCACTTCCTTCCCAGTTTTATTTTAAGCATTCAGGAGTCAAGCAGGCAGTGGCTCTCTGTGGGGCAGGGGTAGTGGATAAACCTGAAGTTGGTATTTTAACAACTTTTATTGCCATAAGAGGTGCCCCAGGGACAGCAAAAACTCCTTTACACTAAGATGGTTTCTAGAAAAGCCCTTTGCAGGTGCCCTGGTACAGAGCAGCAGGGTTGAAAAAGGAAATATTCATTTGTTCATCAGGAGTGACTGAGCTAAATGAGAGAAATGAGGAACTACAGATCCAACAGGTCTGAGGAGGGGAAAATCCTTCCTTGCCCCCACTGCTCACTGCTGAGCTGCAGGTGAGCTCCTTCCCCTGCAAACAGAGTTCTGCTACACCATCAACTGGATTTACACCAGAATTCAGCTGGCACCTTTCTCTGCTCTTCACAGAAATATTCATTTCTGCAGGGCCACTGAGCTCCTGCCCTGCAGTTCTGCTCCTGCCAGAAACAGGCAAATCCTTTGAAATCCTGCAGGACAGTGACATTTATTTATGTAAACAAATTAAAGCTACTGAAAACATCCCAGGCAGCATTTAGCTCAGGCTCTGTATTCATCCCCAGCACACACACTTATTTTGGAGTGATTATTTTGGAGTGATTATTTTGGAGTGATTATTTTTGAGTGATTATTTTGGAGTGATTATTTTGGAGTGATTATTTTGGAGTGATTATTTTGGAGTGTATCAAATGGTACCTGGAGCCTCCATTCCAGCATCACCACCATGCCAAGAGCTGCTTTAGCCCCAGCTAATCAGAGCTAATTGATCTTGCTCTCATCAAGTAAAACACACACAGTGGCTCAAAGGCTTTGCAGCACCTCCATCCAGCTGAATTTAAATTTAAGTGTAATTACACACCAATTTCAAGGGAGGGAAAAGCCCTGGTGATGCAGCACTGAAGATTTCCTCTCCCAAATGAACAGCAGAGCATCTCTGTGCCAAAATTCAGTCTGGAGCTGAGGAACTGCTGGGTTTTGGGGAATGAATGTGCAGCAGGGGAAATGAGCCCAGCCTGCTGCAGAGCCAGCCTGGGCAGCTCCACTCCCTGCCACAGCTTTCCACTGCTCCAGCATCAAATGCACACTCATTTCTGTGGGCTGCTCATAAAAAAAAGTCTGTTAATTCATCTCAACCCCCGTGAAGAAACAATGGGAAGGGAGCAGAACAGAATAAACCTTTCTTTAAGGGTTTTTTTTCTGAGCAGAACTCTTCTAGGAGGTTTCCATGAGCTGGCTGGTGACTGGTACAGACAGCAGATGGTGCTGTTAGTGCTGAATTGCACCCCAAGGCAGCAGAATCACCCTTTGTGCAGCACAAGGGAGGGCTGAGGACAAACACATCGTTTATGACATGGGATCAGCCCAGGGGATGAGTTACTGCACGTGGAGCACAGACATTTCTATCCTTGCACAAAGGATTTATGGCTCCCACGTTCAACACCCAGCAAGGTGGAGCTATTTACAACACAAATCACTCCTAGCAAAGCTGCTGCTGTTCCTGACCAAGGTTAAATGAACATTATCAGGCAGATCTCCCTGCAGCCAAGGCCTCCCAGCTCAGCCAGGCACAGACCCAGCCCCACACGTGAGCAGAGGAGCTCCTCAAGCACTCACACATCTTTTGTTGAGCAACATCACCAGAAATACATAAACCCCTGAGCCTTAAACCCAAACACTGAGGGTCCTTTTAACCCTGAAATGACCTTGGCTGCAGCCCCTGGGCCAGGGCCATGTCCCAGTACAGACAGAGATAAAGCCCAAGCACCTCACGTTGCATTTTCACATTTTGTGTGTGAGGCATTAAAAAGTCACTTCCTACTGAGGCATTCAAAGCCAAGGCATCCAAAAATCAGCAATTTCTACACAGTTTACAGTGTTTATGCCTCAACTCAAAGCATCCCAGAGCCCTGGAATGTTGCCTGGGTTTTCCAAGAGACAGTTTATGCAGCAGCATCTGCATTATGGGGGATTCTAACTCATTTTACTCTGAATAAATGGATTTTTGAGGTCCTGATGTACAATAATGCATTTCCCTCAGCCAAGAGCTGGTACAGACAGTCAGGTACACTCAGAATGATCTGGGAAGTTTGTGTGCACAGGAATGGAGCAGAATGGTCTCCTGGAAGGGGATAATGAACACAAGGAAAGCACTTCACCTTTGTGATGCCCAGGACCCCAATGTTGGGGCTGGAGGAGGTGGATCCATTCCCTGTCCCAAACACTCCATCCAGAACACAGGAGAGGCCCTCGATGAAAATCCCCCTGGAATGCCAAAGAGAACACAGGAGTTGGCACAGGCACACATTCCCTGGGGGGTGCTGCATGCCACAGGGGCAGCTGCTCCACCATGGAATTACTGCCATTCATGGCTCAAGCTCCAACACACCTGGAAAACACACTGCAGCTCTGTTTCCTGAGCCTTAGATCCCCCCGCTCTTACACTGAGGAAATTGTATTAAAAACTCAAATAAAGCTTCAGAGCTGCTCTGTTTCCAAACCGCACTCCAGGTGATTTTGACAACCCCAATTCCAGAACCAGTTTAGAGCTCTCTTTCCCTGTGGAAACTGCTGGTAACTCCCACAGCCTCCAGCAGGAACAGCACTGGGATTCAAATGTAACAACACAACCCCAGATCCCATTCCCACCCTGCACTTCACACCCTTGGCCCCGGAGTCTGACCCACCTGCACCATCCCACCTCCCATTCCAAAGTGGGGAAAAAACCCCTAAAAAGCCAAGCAGCAGTGAGCTGCAGTGCCTCTGGCTGGGACAGACCTGTTGATGGCGTGGATGGGAGGAGGAGGAGCACAGGAGAGCCTGGCACAGGCGTAGTAGTCGCCGATGGACTCGATGATGCTGGCCACCACGGCGCTCAGCATGCCGATCACGCCCGCCGCCGACACCGTGGGCAGCCCCCACTGGACTGTGGAGAGAGCACAGCTCAGACCCCCTGCCCCAGCACACGGCCTGGCTAGCCAAACCAACACAAACCTGGGGGATTGGAGAGTGGTTGGGGTTGGGAAGGGGTTTTAGGGTCTCTCAGCACTGCCCGGGTCAGCGCTGGTCAGGTCCCCAAGTGTCACAGCCACAGTGCTGCCCACCCCCAGGGATGGGGACTCCAGCACTGCCACAGGGCTGGGCAAGAAATATTCCCCAGTATCACCCTGAGCCTCCCCTGGCATGGCCTGGGGCTGTCCCCTCTCCTCTTGTCCCTGTTCCCTCTCCTCCTGTCCCTGTCCCCTCTCCTCCTGTCCCTCTTCCCTCTCCTCCTGTCCCTGTTCCCTCTCCTCCTGCCCCTGTTCCCTCTCCTCCTGTCCCTGTTCCCTCTCCTTCTGTCCCTGTTCCCTCTCCTCCCATCCCTGTTCCCTAAATCCTCCTGTCCCTGTCCCCTAAATCCTCCTGTCCCTGTCCCCTCTCCTCCTGTCCCTGTTCCCTCTCCTCCCATCCCTGTTCCCTAAATCCTCCTGTCCCTGTCCCCTAAATCCTCCTGTCCCTGTCCCCTCTCCTCCTGTCCCTCTTCCCTCTCCTCCTGTCCCCTACCCCCGTTTGGGCTAAGATCCCAAATCCCCCCGGCTGTCCCCTCCTGTCAGGAGTTGTGCAGAGGCAGAAGTTCCCCCAATCCCATTTTCTCCCTCTGAGCCCCTTCCCAGCTCCACTCCCTGCCCTGGACACGCTGCAGCCCCTCCATGGCCTTGTCCTGAGGGGCCAGAAGTGACCCTGGCACTGAGGGGGCCCAGCACTGCCCCAGGCACTGTTTGTTTGTCTTTGATGGCAACAACAAACTCCCTTCACTCTAACACAGTCTGGCAAGTTCAAGGAGCTGAAAGGAACAAAGGAAAAAAGGCCACACAAACTGCTTTGATCACACTTGGAAAAATCCCAGAGAGCCATAAAACCCCATTAAAAAAAAATTAAAAAAATTCCTCCTGTTCAGGAATCAGGAATTTGAGCTACAGCTTCTGAGAAAACAATCCTGGCCAGTGAGGCAAATGCCACTGTGTTATCATTGCTCCAAAAAGTCCCTTTGGTCACAAGTTTAGTGGAGCAAAGAGGATGGCAACAAGCAGCTCTGATCACTGCACAAACACCTCCCAGCTCCAAATTTTTGTAGTAGAGAAAATAAAGATTAATTTAAGCCTGCAGAAAAGCCTGGCAGGTTTTCCACAGCAATTGCCTCGATGCTTTTATCTCTTTGAAATAGATGAGCCTCCTGCAACAAAGGATCTTCAGCCACACAGGAGTGAATGAACCTCCCAAACACAAACGGGCTGATCAGGGTGGGGAAGTTTTCCTCCTCTCCTTTCCCAAAAGCTTCTGTTCTTCATCTGCTCCTTTAGAAGTGGTTTTTTTTTTAAACCAAAGCATATGCAAAACCACAATGAAGCTGCCTCATCACCATGTGGTGGCATGGCTGATAATTCCTGTATTTCTATTCTAAAATAATATGATTCCCTAATTACCCTGGTAATTTCTGAAGGGTGAGCCAGTTGTGCAACCTCACACCATAAACCCAGCCTTTAACAGCTTTAAACCTAGAGGTGGCCAACATAAAAATACACCCAAAACACTGTGTGAAGTGTTTGGTGCCCTCCTGTAAATGATTTCATTGCTCTCTGATAAGCAGGGCCTGGCATTCCCTGACTTGCCCGTGCCAGCAGTGCCTTGGCAAGTCAGGGCATCTTCTGCCAGGAACTCCTGTGCTCAGCCAGGAATGGGTGTGTTTGGGGCAGGGAGGGTGTGTTTGGGCAGCAGCCTGGGAGGAACTGCCCAGGAGTGATTCTTCAGACAGTGAGAGCCAGGGACTGCAGCAGAGCTGTGAGAACCTGTCCCTGGCACTGGGACTGAGGAACCAGCCAGCCTTCATCTCCATGGCAGGGGGCAGTCACTTGGCATCAGGAGAGTCACCCAGAGCAACCCTGCACACTGCAGCTCCAGAACCTCAGCCTGCCTTGGGTGACACCTTAAGGTATCAGCTGAGGAGAAAAAAAAACCAAAAAAACACAATTTTTTGTGCAGCAGACAATGAGAGTGGTGTGTGCTAGGACTGTGGGATGGCTTGGACTGGGAGGGACCCTCAGAGCCACCAGCAGGGACCTCTCCCACTGTCCCAGGCTGCTCCAAGCCCTGTCCAGCCTGGGACACTGCCAGGGATGGGTCATCCAAGCACCCAAAGGTTATGGAATAAACTACTGAGAGAGAGCCAGCAGAGCTGTGGAACAGGAGGAGTGACCCTGCTGGGTCTGGGGAACCAGGGTTATGGAATAAATCACTGAGAGAGCCAGCAGAGCTGTGGAACAGGAGGAATGGCACTGCTGGGCTCTGGGGAACCAGGGCTATAGAATAAACCACTGAGAAAAAGCAGAACTGTGGAGCAGGAGTGACCCTGCTGAGTTCTGGGGAGCCAGGGCTATGGAATAAACCACTGAGAGAGAGCCAGCAGAGCTCTGGAACAGGAGGAGTGACCCTGCTGGGGCTGGGGAATCAGGGCTATGGAATAAACCCCAGGCAGAGGCAGGAGGATGTGGAACACGAGGAGTGACTCTGCTGGGTCTGGGGAATCAGGGCTATGGAATAAACCCCAGGCAGAGGCAGCAGCCTGTGGAACACGAGGAGTGACTCTGCTGGGTTCTGGGGAACCAGAGCAATGGCCCTGCTGGGTTCTGGGGAAGCAGGACTAAGAAATAAACCCCAGCCAGAGGGAGCAGGCTGTGGAACAGCAGCAATGACCCTGCTGGGTTCTGGGGAACCAGAGGAATCACCCTACTGGGTTCTGGGGAACCAGAGCTAAGGAACCAACCCCAGGCAGAGGCAGCAGGCTGTGCCCAGCAGCAATGGCCCTGCTGGGTTCTGGGGAACCAGGACTAAGGAATAAATCACTGAGAGCCAGCAGAGCTGTGGAACATGAGGAATGGCCCTGCTAGGTTCTGGGGAGCCAGAGCAATGGCCCTGCTAGGTTCTGGGGAGCCAGAGCAATGGCCCTGCTGGGTTCTGGGGAACCAGGACTAAGGAATAAATCACTGAGAGCCAGCAGAGCTGTGGAACATGAGGAATGGCACTGCTGGGTTCTGGGGAGCCAGGGCTAAGAAATAAACCCCAGACAAAGGCAGCAGAGCTGTGGAACAGGGGGAATGGCCCTGCTGGGTTCTGAGGAACCAGAGCAATGGCCCTGCTGGGTTCTGGGGAAGCAGAGGAATCACCCTGCTGGGTTCTGGGGAGCCAGGGCTAAGAAATAAACCCCAGACAAAGGCAGCAGAGCTGTGGAACAGGGGGAATGGCCCTGCTGGGTTCTGAGGAACCAGAGCAATGGCCCTGCTGGGTTCTGGGGAGCCAGGACCAAGGAACCAAGCCCAGGCAGAGGCAGCAGGCCGTGCCCAGCAGCAGTGCCCCGAGGGCCCCGGGGCAAACACTTACAGGGGTAGGGCACCTTGAACCAGGGGGCCACCAGCAGCACGCCGCGGCGCGCGTCCGTGCGCGCGTAGAAGCCGTACTTGGAGCTGTCCGGGGGGAACACGTCTGTCACCGTGAAGATGAAGCACAGCAGCCAGGACACCAGGATGGCCAGGATGATCTGGGGACACGAGCACACGGGGGGGCAGTGAGCTCACAGCTCCTGCTGGGGGGGGCTGCACAGCCTGAGCTGGGGGAAAGGGACCTGTGGGAGGTGTGGGGGCTTGGGAGGAGGTATGGTATGGTATTGTATGGTATGGATTTGTGTGGAAAAGACATGCCATGTACAGATTCTGCATGGATTTGTATGGAAAAGACATGCCATGTACAGATTCTGCATGGATTTGTACCAAAAAGACATGCCATGTACAGATACTGCATGGATTTGTGTGGAAAAGACATGCCATGTACAGATACTGCATGGATTTGTACCAAAAAGACATGCCATGTACAGATACTGCATGGATTTGTGTGGAAAAGACATGCCATGTACAGATACTGCATGGATTTGTACCAAAAAGACATGCCATGTACAGATACTCAATGCAAATAGTATGCAAAATACATACTGTATGTAAATAGTATGTAAAATACATATTATATATAGATATTGTATGTATTTGTATGTAAATTATTTATTATATATACTGTATGTATTTGTATGTAAAATATGTATTATATAGATACTGTATGTAAACAGTATGTAAAATATCTACTATAGATACTGTATTTGAATGTAAAATACATATTACATACAGATACTGTATGTAGATAGTATGTGAAATACTACATGCAGATTATGTATATGTGTAAAATACATATTATGTATAAATCTGGTATGCAAAATACTATGTATAGATACTGTATGTAAAACAATACTATATATCGTATATTATTATGTAAAATACATATTATACATAAATACTGTATCTCAATTGTATGTAAATACATACTATATGTAGATGTTGCATGTAAATTGTATGTAAAACACATACTATATCTACTTTGAGATAAATGCTGATTTAGAAATGTTATGGGACAGCACAGATGTTGTTGAGAGGGAAATGGATGGAAGAAAGTTTTAAGGGATGGTTTTGTAAGTAAGATGAGGTATTCTGGAGAAACAGAATTATGAAAAGTGAATTGCAGTAGGATTTGTGAGGGGCAGTTTTAGGTGAGGTATTTATAGTACAGTGTGGTAAAAAGTTAATAGTTAAGAAATGTTTCTAGTGTTTTGTCTGATTTGTTGGGCAACAGCCTTTTTCTAACCCAAAAATAAAATAATTAAAACCATTTTCCCCTGTGTGCACGAAGTTCCCTTCCCCTCTGCCCTCCCCTCCCCATCAGTCCCCCAGCTCCTCAGCACAGCCACAAAATCTGAATATTTCCTGTGGCCAGTAATCCATTACATTCCAATAAATCCATTAAAGATTTATCTCACCTTTGTGAGTAATCTATTGTGAAGAAAAATCAAAACCAACACCCCCCGCTCCCAAAACAGAATTTTAATTTTTTTTTTTTTTTTGCTAAAGGAAGAACCAGTTCAACGACTTACAGGGAACATCTTGAAAAGCTGCAGCCTGTATGCTGTCCATCCTTTCTTGGATTTATAAATGGGCAAGGGAAATTTGACATTTCTGGCATACTGGGAGAACAACAATACTAGGAAAATAGTCCTGAGGAAAAAAAAGGAGGATGAGGAGGGTGGGACAAGAGAGAAATGTTATCAGCACCAATAGATGATAAATTCTTTTTAGCACAAACCTTTGGAAGCAGAACATAAATGCAGATTTTCAATTTGAGCAGAAGACAAGGCAGCAAAATGATTAAAATTGTTATTCCTCAAATGCCAAAAGAATTTGAATTCTAAAGTTCTGCAAAACTCAGCAAGGAGATAAATGGATCAGAGACAGGCCCAGACTGAGGGGGAATTTCAGTTTAAATTCCTGTGCTGCCCCTTCCTTGCTCCCAGCTCCACCTGTGGGCCAGGCTTTGTGTGAAGCACAAAACCTGCTGCCAGCACCTGGCAAGAGACAGCAGAACTGTAAAAACAGATTTCTACATTTCAGAATTTGCATCCAACTCCAAAGCACGTAGAGAAATTTGTGTCAGGGAAATTTTTCTGTTCTTAAGAATCCATTTTTTAAATATTAATCTTTCATTATTTAGCTGCAAACAAAGAAAAATGGAGCCCAAGCCCCAAGATTTGCTGCCAGTGCAGTCCATCAGTATCAAATGTCTCAATTATTAAGCATTACTCCCACTAATGAAACTGCCAAGCTCCTCTAGACATTAAACATTATTTTTACAGCTAAAATAAGCCCCCACTGCCCAGAAAAATCAGCAGCCAGGGCATGTTGCTCAATTGTGAAGGAGCAATTCTCAATTCTCAACCCAGCTCTGCTCTGCAAGGGCCTCCCAGAGGCTGGAGCTGTGTGAGGAGGCAAAGCTCTGCTGAAATCTGAGATTATGTTTTTATCAGCTGACTTGAAAAATAAAAAGAGGATTGTCAGCCTCTCTTCTGCCCCGGATCAGACACAAACCAGTTTTGCTCTCCCTCAGTCTCCAGGAAAAGGAGGAGCATTTACAGCCCTCAGCAGTGCAGGAGAAAAGCAAAAAGCACATTGCATCCATGCAGGAAACCCCAGAATCCCCCCAGAATCCATCATGGAATCCTCCCTCCCACACCCTGAGGACAGAGAGCTTTGGATTTGATTTAGCACCGAGCTGTAAAAAATCCAATATTCAATTATTGCAGTGGATTTCCCATTGGCAGAGGGGCTGTGAAACAGCACCAAACCCTTGGATGCCCCAGGAAAATCTGGAGAAACAGGCAAAGCCCAACTCAGGAATAATTGACAAATATCAGTGCAAGTGTCTGGTGGAATAAAGCACCTACAGAATAAGTTAAGTCAGGAAATTGGGAATCCTGCAGTTCCCAGCTGATCCTGCAGGGCCAGGGAGAAATGCAGGACCTTGATCTCCTCAGAACATCCAGGACAATTCCAGCAGCCACATCTCCCAGGGCTGCAGTCACTCCTGATGGCTCCCCACAGCTGGAGCTGTTTTGAACCACCCAGTGCCCATTTCTGCATGGCAGAAGCCAGCAATACTTTATTGATGGCTAACATTTAAATCCCACTCCTCAATCGATTTATTTTTTTCTCCATCTGCAAAGATGTCAACTTTAATTACACGTTTCCATGTCCAATTCAAAGATGTGCTTCATTCATTTAATGGTAGCCCCAACTTGCACAGAAATTCATTTTGCAGACAAATAAAACGTTCCTTTGGATCAGCTGCTTAATACAATAGAATCACAAAAATACTCCTGATGCCAACATGCAAGATAAAAGAGAATTAAAGAGCCCTTTTAATCATAAGCTGCACTTACAGAATACTTTACATGTTCAAAGCACTGTGCAAACAGATTAGTGAGATCACAATCTGATCTCACCAAGGCATTCCTCCTGCTCCCAGGGCCAGCACAGTTGGGTGCTGCACATGGAGCTGCTCCAGCCTCTTTTCTCCCAAAAATGGGGTTTACATTAACTGCTTCACCCTCTGCTCTCCCTAAAATGGGGTTTTACATGGAACTGCTTTACCCTCCTGTTCCCCTAAAATGGGGTTTACATGAACTGCTCCAGCCTCTTTTCTCCCCAAAAATGGGGTTTCATATGGAATTGCTCCAGCCTTTTCTCCCTAAAATGGGGTTTCCAGCCTCATTTGCTCTTACCCACACGGGGATCTTTTGTCTTCATTTAATTTCATTTCCCTCACTTATTCCTTTTCATTCTTTCATTTCCCTGGCTCCTGCATCTGATGGCACACACACCCCAGGCCCTGAAATTCCCTCTAAAGCTTTTTGTCCCCTGGCAGGATCTCTGCTGATGGCTCAGCCTCTGCTGGTGTTGATGGCAGTATCTGTGCCCTCTGCCATCACACACATGAACTCCTCTTGGGCACAGGTAACCAAACCAGTGCCAGTGGCAGAGGGACCAGCAGCAGTGGGGTTCAGCTGCTGCTGCAGGAGAGGGAGCAGGCAATGCCAGCCCAGAAACACAAACTGTTTAAAGCATTTCATCTCCCTGGTGTTCTGCTAAATCAGCTTTTCTACAGCACTCAACTCCACCCAGACAATGGCTCCTGCTCTAGAAAATTCTGCTCTCCACACCTCATTTTTGGCCACTGTCCCTTCCTCTCTCCTCGAGCTCACATTATCATGGAATGGTTTGGGTTGGAAGGAACCTTAAAGCCCATCCAGGCCCATGAAGGAGCCGTGGGCAGGGACACCTTCCACCGCCCCAGGCTGCTCCAAACCAACCTGGCCTTGGGCACCACAGCTTCTCTGGGGCCTCCCCACCCTCCCAGGGAAGGATTTCAGGGAAGAAGCAGGGCAAAGCTTCAGGCAACCCCCCTGAACTGCTCTGTCCTTGTTCCCACATTTCCAGCTGACCATATCCAGACTCTGGGTGTTTCTCATGGTGTTTGTTCCTCATGGTGTTGTATCTCAGGGTGTTTGTTTCTGATCGTGTGTGTTCCTCACGGTGTGTGTCCCTCAGGGTGTTTGTGTGTCTCTCAGGGTGTTTGTGTGTCCCTCAGGGTGTTTGTGTGTCTCTCAGGGTGTTTGTGTGTCCCTCAGGGTGTTTCTCAGGCTGTTTGTTTCTCAGGGTGTTTCTCATGGTGTGTGTCCCTCAGGGTGTGTGTCCCTCAGGGTGTTTGTGTGTCCCTCAGGGTGTGTGTTTCTCATGGTGTTTGTCTTTCAGGGTGTTTGTCTCTCACGGCGTATGTTTCTCAGGGTGTTTCTCATGGTGTTTATCTCTCATGGTGTGTGTTTCCCAGGTGTTTCTCATGGTGTCTGTCTCTCATGGTGTTTCTCAGGGTGTTTCTCTCTCAGGGTGTCTGTCTCTGTCCATGAAGGAGCCGTGGGCAGGGACACCTTCCACCGCCCCAGGCTGCTCCAAACCAACCTGGCCTTGGGCACCTCAGCTGCTCTGGGGCCTCCCCACCCTCCCAGGGAAGGATTTCAGGGAAGAAGCAGGGCAAAGCTTCAGGCAACCCCCCTGAACTGCTCTGTCCTTGTTCCCACATTTCCAGCTGACCTCATCCAGACTCTGGGTGTTTCTCATGGTGTTTGTTCCTCATGGTGTTGTATCTCAGGGTGTTTGTTTCTGATCGTGTGTGTTCCTCATGGTGTGTGTCTCTCAGGGTGTTTGTGTGTCTCTCAGGGTGTTTGTGTGTCCCTCAGGGTGTTTCTCAGGCTGTTTGTTTCTCAGGGTGTTTCTCATGGTGTGTGTCCCTCAGGGTGTGTGTCCCTCAGGGTGTTTGTGTGTCCCTCAGGGTGTTTCTCAGGCTGTTTGTTTCTCAGGGTGTTTCTCATGGTGTCTCTCTCTCAGGGTGTCTGTCTCTCAGGGTGCCTGTCTCTCAGGGTGTTTCTCAGGGTGTTTCTCAGGGTGTGTCTCTCTCAGGGTGTTTCTCTCTCAGGGTGTCTGTCTCTCAGGGTGTCTGTCTCTCAGGGTGTGTGTCTCTCAGGGTGTTTCTCAGGGTGTGTGTCTCTCAGGGTGTTTCTCCCCACCCACAGCACCAATGCAGCCCCGCTGCCTCCAGCTTCCCCCAGCCCCCCAAACCCCCGCGTGCCCAGCAGGAAACAGGGTACTCACAGCATGGCGATGCCCCAGTGCTTGCCAGCTCTCTCCCCAGCAGCCTGGAAGCCCGAGAGGCCGATGAGGGCCACGGTGGGGGTGATGGTCAGGGGCCCGATGTAGCGCAGCAGGGCCCCGGGCAGCCCCAGCAGCCCGATCACCACCTCGATCAGCGAGGACATGATGATGGCACCTTGGATCTGAACACACAACAGGGCAGAGAGGCAGCTCAGTGCCATCTGACAGGCAAAACCCTTTGTTTTTCTGCTCTGGATTACAAACTGCAGTTAAAAGAATTCAGTGACACAGAAGAACTCAGCAAAAAAAAAAAAAAAAATTTTTTTCCCGTCATAAAACAGCTCATTATGTTTAAGTGACTTATTGCTTTAAAGCATAACACTTATGGTTTTCTCCACAAAACTATTACACAACAGACCAGTGGGCCAGTCTGGAAGCTGTGTGGAAAGCACATCACACTGTCAGACAGGAGACCTGGGGTCCAGGCTAACCTTTAAGCTCTCAGATCGAACGGCAAGGGTTGGTGCGCCACGAGGTGATGCTCCTAGCTCCTAGGGGCAGAGTGTGTGCTGCATTGGTCACAAGTGCTCCTTAGAAGCTGGATTAGAGCAGCGTTGTGGTCTCAGGAGACTGTCAGCCCTCTTGGCTGCAGGGCTCTTGGCAGGATGTAGCTATGGTTTGAACATGGGGAAGAGAGAGGGGTTGTTTTTAATTAAGAAAAAGTTGGCAGCCCAAAGCAACGGGATGGGAGATCAATTCCATGACACACGCCTTCATTTGGACTACTCTAGCTGCCACCCTGGCGTGGCACAGCCCTCAGCCTGCCCTGCAGGGCACCACGATTCACACGGAGTGGAGAAGGAGCTCCAGGTATTTCAAAAGTCTTTGGGGAGAATCGACCTCTTATCAAAGAGTCTCCAACTCAATGCACTTGGGAAGGAAGCAGATTTCCTAACTGCAGATTCACCTTCCAGGGCCAGCCCCACTGCACAGGACAGCAGGCAAGGGGCCTGGCAGCAGCTGAACTGCTGCCAGCGAGCACAAATCAGGCTTACAAGAAGAGTTTTCATCTCCCTTGAGCATTTCAGCTTTTGGGATGTGGTAACTAACTCCTGGTATTTGCTGTCCAGCAATGAACGGGTGGAAAAGATGAAGACTTCCATGAAATGAGTAAAGGGATATATTCAAATGGAGATCGCAGTGACACGAGAAATTACCAACTTAAAGACAAGAACACACAGATGATCCAAGCGAGGAACTTAACTGGAGCAGGAGAGTGAGAGCAAAGCAAGTCCCACATTACCTCTCGTATGCGGGGGTACCAGATGTGCTCCGTGTGCAGCAGCTCTGCTGTTCCGTTTGCAACTGTTACATCTTCCAAAAGGGACAAAAAAGGGGATTTCTTTTATTGCCCAGCCACTCTGCCACCGTTCCACACAAACCAAATCCCTCCCCAGGCTGCCAAAGGAGCCCCAGTTCACACAGAGAGCAAGTTCTGCTCAATGAAGGCCAAGAACCAACCCCTCGCTTCTCCCTCTGCTCCCAAATTCCCAGCAACCAGGGTTCCAGCAGGAACACGCCCTGATTTCCACACAGAAAGGTCAATCTCCCCATTCCAGTGGGGAATTACTCAGCTGCACCCCAGGGATCCCAAACTCCAGTGCCTGCTGCTCCCCAGTGGAGGTCACTGAAGGGGCTGACCCAGGGACAGCCCCACCTGGCAGCTTTGGGAGGTGAAAAGGTGCAGCAGGAAGGTGCAGCAAAGCTCTTTTTGACAACCTGGAGTCCTGGGGAAAACGGCTTTGCCACCCAGGGTTACCAGAAAGTTTCTTTCAACGAGCTGGGTGTTAATCACACTTTGAATGTGAGTAAACAGAGATGTATATAATAGAAATTAAATTATTAGAGAGTCCAAAGGAGCCCTGGGAAGAGCTCCAGGCAGGAGTGAGCAGCCTGATTATTCCCTGTGCTGCTGCTTCCCACTGCCCACAGCCTTGGTAATGAATAACCACCCCTCACTGAGCAGAAAACTGCCAGAGTCATTTCCAGTCCAACCCAAAGCAAAAGCTCCCATCCCAACCAGGATCTCTTCCCTCTGAAGCTCAAACCTCCCAGGATGACGACAGCAGCAGAGAGAGAGTGAAAAAGAACATCCAAATCTTGTCAAAACCTGTCAGGTATGACTTCAGCAGGGGAAAATCCTGGTCTGGAGGTGATGCTGTACATTGCTCAAACTCCCTCCCACTCACAACTTCAAAGGTTCACTTGGACTCGCTGTTTCCAAATGTTTGGAACATTATGGGAAGGAACACTTGCAGATGTAAATGAACAGGAGAATTACTTGGTGCCACAGTTACAGCTCCTTTTCAACGTTTTGGTATTAAAAAAATCCCCAGAAACAGAACTCCACAAGGGCATTTTGGGCATCTTCTGTGGCAGAGTATTTTAACACTGTAAAAAGAGAGGCTTTCCATATTCCCTGCTCATTACTCCCAGTTTTTATAGCAGAAGCTGTGGCAGCTGCACTCCACGTGACCTGGCCCATTTGTCACTTCAACCTGAACAAGGATAAACAACAATTACCTGTGTTATTGCACTTCCACTTCTCCAGAGAGAGGATTGCTCTGGCAGGTGCTAAGAATGCAAAAGCGCTGGCTTGGAACAGGGGTAACCTGGTGGGGAGGGAGAGGAGAGATGTGACAGTCTGTGGGGTCCCTGCAGTGGGTGGGCACTCAAACCACCCCTCACTGAGTTATTACACTGGGAAACAAGAGGATTCCTCACCAAAAACAGCCCAGTCAGAGGAATACAGAGAGCCAAAGAGCTGACAGCACCTGCCTGGAGGTGTCAGCCAGGTGACTCCAGGGGCCAGGCTGTGACAGCAGACAGGGACACAGGTGGACACTGAGCTGGGGGAGCAGAGTGCTGCAGGTGCAGCTTTACCATCCCAGCACAGGAACTGTGCTCTCAAGGTGCAGTTTTTACCATCCCAGCACATGGAACTGTGCTCTCAAGGTGCAGTTTTTACCATCCCAGCACAGAACACTCTATGGAGGTTCATTTTTACCATCCCAGCACAAAACAGCTCTCTCAAGGTGCAGTTTTACCATCCCAGCAGAGAACACTCTCTGGAGGTGCAGTTTTACCCTCCCAACACAGGAACTGCTCTCTCAAGGTTCATTTTTACCCTTCCAGCACAGAACACTCTCTGGAGGTGCAGTTTTAACCATCCCAGCACAGAACACTCTCTGGAGGTGCAGTTTTAACCATCCCAGCACAGAACACTCTCTGGAGGTGCAGTTTTACCCTCCCACCACAAGAACTCTCTCAAGTGCAGCCTGCAGGCTCCATCCCTCCCCTCTGCATGCCTCTGAGCACACTCACTGTGGAGTGCATGTGTCAGTAAGTGCTGGGCTGATGGCAGCAGATTAGATGTTCCCAGTGGTTGCCACCAATAAATACAAACACCACAAGAATTTCAAGATGACATTCTCAGCATTGGTGTTTATACTTCCCAAAAGGTTTCAAGACCTGAAGAGAGCAGGTATGAATTTACTGACCTCACTGCACCTTGTGTAACAAATATCCCAACATCACTGAACTGCAGATGCACTCTGAACTGCTCTACAAATATTGCCATGAATGCACTGCCAGGAGATTCCCTTTAACAGGAGATCCCAAGGTGTGACACGGGGAATGAGGGCAGGAAAAAACTGCTCAGGTTCAGGTGAAGATCAGGAAATGCTCTCAGGAGGAGAAGTGTGGGGGGAAATGGTGTACAGTGAGCACAGGAATCAAACTCAGCCTTGTTATTAATGGGAGCTGCCAAGGTCACAGCAGTTTGGGTCATGGGCAATTTCAGAGCCACCAAATGTTGAAAAGTGCATTGGAAACTCCAATTTCATGAAGTCCATGAGCCATCCAAGCACGGCTGGGTGGTCAGAACCCCCCTGGGAGCTCCTCCCTGCAGAAATGCCAGCTCTGTCTCTGGGAAGTCAGGGCTGGTGGCTCAGGAGTGACTCAGCCCACGCTGCCAGGCTCACCAAGCACAGCTGGTGCCCATGGCAGGGCTGCAACACCTGGAACAAGCTGCTACTGCTCCATGCCACCTACACAGCCCCCTCAGAGCTGTGGTGAACACACACTGCAAACACATTCTCCAGTGCTGAGGTCACTGCTGCCAGCCTGGGCTGCTCTGCATCCCATGGAAGGCCAGCACAGGGCTGCAAAATCACATCTGCTCCTGCTCCACTTCTGTGTGACACAGGCAACTCCCAAAAGGTCCCAAAAATCCCAAAATAGTGGGGATTTTTTCCCCCTAAGCCAGCCAAAAAAAAAAAAAAAGAGTAATTTAATTTTTTTTAAAATTGTTGAAAATCAGTCAAGCAAGACCTGCCTCTTTCTCAGGTGACAGCTGCAGGCTGGGAGTCACTTACAGATTTTAAAGCAGCCACTCACTGCCAGCCAGCTGAAGCACCAAAGCTCCTGAGTGGGGCATCATTTCAACTTCGTGTCTAAATCATCCAGCTGCTCCATTCTGGCACAGATGTGAAGAAAAGAGTTTTTCTGCAGGCAAAGGCAACTGGAAATGTGTCATTACCTTGCCATGTCCCACATGTGTGAGAGAGCTGGGCCAGTGCAGGGCACAGCACCAGAGCTGCCACCCTGGCTGGGTTAAAGCTGTGTCTGATGGTCTCAGTGCCACTAATTAGCCACTAATGAACCCTGCCAGAGCCGGGGCTCACTGCACAACCCAGTGAATAGCTGGAATTCCTAGAACTGGTCTGGGTAGCCAACCTGCCCCAACCCCACCTCGGAATTGAGCTAAATCCATCTTTAAGAACCCTTAAAGCGTGGAATTTGACCTTTTGAAACCTTTATTTGCTGAAATACTTTGCAGTTGCCAGAGTTGCCAATGAATACTTGCAAATCTCATGGAGAGGCCTGTGCTGCTGTATCCCATTCCCAGCCTTACATAAACCCCCCATCACATGGGCAACAGTTATAAAACATCCCAGAGTGGAAATTTCCTCCCTAAACACGAGTTATTTTCAGACCCAAACACAATCTGGCCTTCAGGGATATGACAATGTAAGTACAGTGCAAGTGGGAGCCACTGAAAAGGGAAAAATCCCAGCAGGGTGGAGGGCAAGGGTGGGATTACACACAAAGAACAGAGCATTTCAAAATGATGGCACTGTCATTTTGGGCACCCTTCTCTCTAAATGAACCCCAAATCCCTCTCTAATAAGTGATTGAAAGCCAAGATTAGTGAGGGAGAAAAAAATCCCCAAATATGACAAACTTCCAGACAAGGTACATGAGGATTTATGGCTCCAGCACAAAGAGCCAGCCAGGCTGGAAATCAGATTATTGACTCTGGGGAGTCTTTAGTGAAAGAAAATACCCTGGGGAAAGAAAGTTTGCTTTCCCAACAGCTTCCACTCTGTTGTTTTGCCATCAGAGTGAACCTTTCAAGACAGAGGAGTGAGCTCCTAAGTCAAATAAGACAAAAAAAAAAGAGGGAAAGGTTTTTTTCCCCCAAAGGAAAAAGTGAAGCAAAGGTAACTGAACCAGCTGTGCAGGGGAACACAGGTTTGGAAAGATTTATATTTATATTTATATTTATATTTATATTTATATTTATATTTATATTTATATTTATATTTATCTGTTCTTGCCAGATTTACACAAGGATTTTCCAGCTGGGCTCTTCCATCCCCCTAAGGGGAGGTGAGAGCATCCCTGCACACCTCTGTGTGTGTTCCAAACCCCAGGAATGATCATTGCCCGTAACTCAGAGCAGCTAACAAATAAACCCCAATTACTTCATGGGCTGGGAGGTAACAGAGAGTGACAAGTTTCCCTCATCATTTTTCCCTGCCTTTTTCACTTGCCAAGCCCTTCACAGGATGCAGTTTGCTGTGGGACTGATCATAAACACCTAAAAACCACCAAGAATTTAACTGAAATTAATTAATTTCATAAGAAATTAATAAAACCACCACGGTCAGCTCCTCTTTACCAAGGCATGTGGATTTTTCCTCTCCCTCCCAGGAACTCCTCAGCCCTGGAACCCCCCCTTTCTGTGGCCAGGCTCACCTGCAGCCGAAGGTGGTCTGCAGCAGGGATTAATGAAACCACCACTCTTTACCAAGGTGTGTGGATTTTTGCTCTCCCAGGAACACCTCTGCCCTGGAAGCCCCAAATTTCCCTGCCCAGACTCACATGCAGCCAAAATTAATAAAATCACCACAGTCAGCTCCTCTCTACCAAGGTGTGTGAATTTTTGCTCTCCCTCCCAGGAACTCCTCTGCCCTGGAACCCCCAGATTCCCCTGGCCAGACTCACCTGCAGCCCAAGGTGGTCTGCAGCAGGGATTAATGAAACCACCACTCTTTACCAAGGTGTGTGGATTTTTCCTCTCCCTCCCAGGACACCTCTGCCCTGGGACCCCCCCTTTCTGTGGCCAGGCTCACCTGCAGCCGAAGGTGGTCTGCAGCAGGGATTAATGAAACCACCACTCCTTACCAAGGTGTATGGATTTTTGCTCTCCCTCCCAGGAACTCCTCAGTCCTGGAACCCCCCATTTCTGTGGCCAGGCTCACCTGCAGCCGAAGGTGGTCTGCAGCAGGGTGGTGATGCCCACGCAGAAGAAGATGGTCCCGATGAGCTGGCTGGTGGCCCACTGGTCGAAGCCCACGCACATGGCATCGGCCAGCAGGAAGGGCACGGCGATGGTCCCGCTGAAACACGTCAGGTAGTGCTGGGGGCACAGGGGTTAGAGCTGCAAACATCCATCCCCAGCTGCTGAGTGCCTGCTGGCCCGGCAGCAGCTTCTCTGAAAGCCCCAGCAGAGCTCTGAGCTTTGCTTGCAGCGTTTCTGGTGATGCCGCTGGGGGGGTTTCTGATTTTTGGGATTTCTGGGGGATCCACAGGCTCCTGAAACACCCCACAGCTGCTCAGGTAGCTGTGCTGAGAGCTGCCTCTAGCCCAGAAATAATTCCACTCACATCCCCTGGCTCACACACAAAGGACTCCTAAATTCTTCCTCGACCCAAGTGCACCAAAAGCAAAACAGCCAAGAAATTTTCACCATACTCCACACACAAGTAAAAATAGAATTCCTACAGAACTGCCTGTCCTTGAGGAAAAGGCAGCAATAAAAAGGATGTTTTGGAATGTGTTTGTTTGGGGATCTCAAGGTCCTTCACAGAGATGACCAAATTCTCAGCATTCCTGGGGGCCAGATGTTATTCCCACTGGAGAAGGGAAGGAGATGGGACTGGAGCTGCTCTGCTGCCCACAAGCAGTGGCTGAGCTGCAGGAAGCACCTGCAAGGAGCCTCCCTGGCAAGGCAGGTGCAGGGTGGTGCTCTCAGGGCTGAAATAACTGCAGTAGCAGCTTTAATATTCAATATTTCAAGTCTAAATCCTTCTCTCTCCCCATTTTTAACTCCAGAGGTGCCCAATGTCCCTGGTGAAGGCCTCCCCTGAGCCTCTGCTCACTCATTTACCAACAGCAGCTTGCAACTCAATAAATGTTTGAGTGACTCTCACAAATGCACGAGCTGAAAACTGAAATCATTCTCAGAGCAATGACCTGAGTGTGAGCAGCCCCAGAAACCTCCCAACATCTTCAAAATCATTGTCAGAGCAATGCTCTGAGTGTGAGCAGGCTCAGAAACCTCCCAACATCTTCAAAATCATTCTCAGAGCAATGACCTGAGTGTGAGCAGCCCCAGAAACCTCCCAACATCTTCAAAATCATTGTCAGAGCAATGCTCTGAGTGTGAGCAGGCTCAGAAACCTCCCAACATCTTCAAAATCATTGTCAGAGCAATGCTCTGAGTGTGAGCAGGCTCAGAAACCTCCCAACACCTTCCTCAAACAGGTGGGAGTGGAGAAGGATAAAACACCCAAACACACTGAACTGCACAGAAAATCCCCAATAACTCTGAAAGCTCCAGAAGACAAAGCTGGCTCTGTTTGGGGATGTACCTGCAAGCCCAGGAAGATGCAGAGGTACCAGGGAGGAACATCTTCAATGGTGTAAATCATGTCAGTCCTCTGGGCATCCAAGCTGCCAGTGCTGTCCAGGGTCTCTGCCAGGGAGCTCTGCAGGAAAAGGGGCAGCAGCAGGTTAGTGCTGCACAGAATAAAGGGAATTTCAACTGCCAGGCCCTCCAAGGCTGCTTCAGCAATGCTGATTTGTGGCAATTTCAAAGCCTTTCACATCCAGCTCCTGAATTTGTAGCCAACATGTTCCCTTCTGAACACTCCCTGCTTATTTATTTATAATTGCTGATTTATGACAGAACTGATCTAGCAGCCAAAAGGTGCCCAAAAATGGATTCATCATGACAAGGCTGTTAAAAAACCCCACCAAACCCCAAACCACAAAAACAAACAGAAAAAAAGAAAACAGGGAAGAATTGGAACTAAGAAGAAGAGCTCTGTCCTTGCATTGCTGGCAAAAATAAATCCTCATTATGATAATTGCTTCCCTGCCTTGCTCTTACCCAATTCCATCTTGGTTAACCACTTTTAGCCAAAGAATTTATAATTTCCCTTCTTCCCCCTCACTTATGCAGTCAGGAAAAATGCTGATTATTACACCCAAATTAATCCCCAACCAATTTCTGTCAGCCAAGCAGAATTCCTCCAGGAATTTCAATTCCCCAGGAATTCAGGCAAGGCCACTGTGCCAATGGACAAGTGAGCACAGACATTCACACATCAACACCCCTGCAGATGAAACAGGGAAACAGGGAAATCTGTTTTTCTCTGTCACAAAAAGTGTTTGGAAATTCCTGAGGACAAACCCACAATGCTCCAAAGCCCCAGCACAACAACAACAGAAGCAGGAGGAAGTATCAGATTTTGTAATTTCAGACTGAGCAGCTAAAAAATGACCTTACACAAGAGCTGCTCTGCCCTAACCCAGCCCAAGACACCCTGAGCCCTCGTGGAGCTGCCTCACACAGAGCCTGGCAGCTCTGCCAGACTCGTGACTGCCCCAAATGCTCTCAACTTCTCCAAAAACCCCACCAGACCCAGGGGCTGTGCTGAGCTGATCTGTGCTGGGCCACCTGCAAGGCCAGCCAGGCAAACTGAGCCTGGCACTGCCCTCCCAGCTCAGCCTTCTGCTGGGGAAACAAATCCACGGGGGAAATTCACACCCAGGGGGTGCAGGGCTGTGGGTCACAGCAAAATGCAAAATGCAAAATGCAGAAACTCCCATGTGAGAGAACCTCGAAAGCACTTTGAGCAATGCCCTCCTCTCCTGCAGCACCATGACAGCTTTTCATGGACTGCAAGAGGAACAAACTCCCTCCTGAGCCAATTCTCTAAAAAAAATGTGAAAAAAATGAATTTGAACCATGGAATGGCTGAGGTTGGAAAAGCCCTTTCAGATCCTCAGGTCTGACCACCAAACAAATCTCCAACTGCCACATCCACACACTTTTTAACATCTCTGGGGATGGGGACTCCATCACTGCCCCTTCCAAGCCCTGACCACCCTTTCCACAGGAAAATTCCTCCTGATGTCCAGCCTGGCCCTCCCCTGGCTGGGCTGCAAGGCCCAGTGCCACCCCTGCCATGGGCAGGGACACATTCCTTGCATGTGCTGAACAATTCCCACACATTTAGGAATTTTATTTTTCATTTTCTGTCCTATGGGATAGTTTTGGATTTATTATTCAATATCCTACAAATTTAAAATAGCAAAAGAAGCCAGAATTGTTTTGCTGCCATGAGGGAAGGAACAGGGTGATGGTGTAGCTGACTGAGGGGTTTATTTTGGATCAGGTTGTGGGTTGAGGGCTTTTTTTTGAGATTTCTGGAGAAAACAACAATGAAAACAACAATTCCACTGTCCCAGGGTGCTCCAAGCCCCATCCAGGCTGGCCTTGGGCACCTCCAGGGCTGTTTTGTTGCCATGAGGGAAGGAAGAGGGTGATGGTTTAGCTGACTGAGGGGTTTATTTTGGATCAGGTTGTGGGTTGAGGGCTTTTTTTTTGAGATTTCTGGAGAAAACAACAATGAAAACAACAATTCCACTGTCCCAGGGTGCTCCAAGCCCCATCCAGGCTGGCCTTGTGCACCTCCAGGGGCAGCCTGAGCTGCTCTGGGCACCTGTGCCAGGGCTCCCCACCCTGAGCCCTCACTGGCAGCCACAGCAAAGCTTTAACTCAAGCTAGATCTGCTTAGTCCACAGCTCAAGGTCTCTTTTGGGTGAATTATTCTCCATCACCCACAGCTCTGCTCCCAGGGGCCAGCTGGGAGGGAGGGAAGCACACGTTTGGAGGAGCAGGAACACTCTGGTGTCTGGAGATGGCTTATCTCATTGCACAACTCCACCCAAACACCTCTGGCTCAAGGCTTTTATCAGATTGTGCCTCTCCACTCCAGCCCCAGCATGCTGCAGAAATCACAGACTTTCAGGGGGAACAAGGAGCTGGCCATGAAATGTGAGAGAGACACCTGGGCAGACTGAGCTGGGGGGCAGCAGGCCCAGGCTCCCCTGGAGCCCAGCCCTGACAGACCTCTGGCTGCCCAGGGGATGTTTAAACCTGAAATTCAGGAGTGAAAACATCAACTGCATCCCCTGGTGTCATCCCTGCCCCAAGAGAAACCACGGCCTTGAAGGGAGGAGCATCATGGTGCCCCTGCTTGGAACCAGGGGTTTGTTCCTGTTTCAATCAGGACATTTGAAAAACTTGGGTCAGGCTGAGGCTTTTCAGACAAAAAAGCCAGAATTTCAGAAGTTCAGAAGTTATCCTTATTTTAAACAAAAGCTCAGATTCACACCACCTCAGCTTGCAGGATCATCACTGAACAGACCTGGGGAATGAAGGAATGGAGAAAAAAGCTGGAAAAATCCCAACCAAGGGCATGAACTGCTCCCACCATTTCCTGAGTCACGGCCCAAGAGCTGCACCCAAAGTGTGTGACCAGCAGTCATGAGGGCAGAGCTGCCTGGGGGGATGTGCATCTGCAAGTCAGCAGCTGTGGGACAGCAAAGCTCCCAGGCAGGGCAAAGCAGGAGCTGAGAGAGCAAGGGTGAGCTCCCAGCAGCCCAGCAGGGCAGCCCCAGTACCTTCTCTGCTATGCCATTCTCGGTGGTGTAGATGGCCATCAGCTCCGTGTCCTCCGTGTCCTGGTCACCGCTGGACGTGGCCCCGCCGTTGATCACAACCTTAGAAAGGGAGCAAAAAGAGAGAAGGGTGAGGGTTTGTCACAACCTTAAACAGGGAGCAAAAAGAGAGAAGGGTGAGGGTTCATCACAACCTTAAAGAGGGAGCAAAAAGAGAAACGGGTGAAGGTTTGTCACAACCTTAGAAAGGGAGCAAAAGGAGAAAAGGGTGAGGGTTTGTCACAACCTTAAACAGGGAGCAAAAAGAGAAACGGGTGAAGGTTTGTCACAACCTTAGAAAGGGAGCAAAAAGATAAAAGGGTGAAGGTTCATCACAACCTTAAAAAGGGAGAAAAAAGAGAAACAGGTGAAGGTTTTTAAATCAATGTTTCCTCTGCCATCACACCTCATATGTAGCTTTCTCTCTTGGTATTTGACATCTGGCTCTGACATTTAGCCAGAAAGCAGAGGAGCATGGCAAGGCATCATTTCTGTAACAGCAGGGCTGCTGTGCTACACACAAATATTCAGTTTTATCACTGACTGCCCATGGAAATGAAGGGTTTCTACACCTGGAGCATTATTTGCTGGGCTCACTCACAGGCAGGGTGAAGAAGGTGAGGTGTTTGGACTCATCCTTGTATTTGCCCTCCGTGCTGCTCTGACCATGGGGTGCTGCACATTTTGGGAATGAGCACACACAGCAGGGCTGCTGTGCTACACACAAATATTCAGAGCTCTATCACTGACTGCCCATGGAAATGAAGGCTTTGTACACCATGGAGCATCATTCCTTGCCCTGGGATCACTCATGGCAAGGTGAGATGCTTGGACTCATCCTCACATCTGCCCTCCATGCTGCTCTGACCATGGGGTGCTGGCAATGAGCACACACAGCAGGGCTGCTGTGCTACACACAAATATTCAGTTTTATCACTGACTGCCCATGGAAATGAAGGCTTTGTACACCACATTATCCCCTGGGCTCACTCACAGGCAGGGTGAAGAAGGTGGGGTGCTTGGACTCATCCTCGTATTTGCCCTCCGTGGAGCCTCCTCCTGCCTCCACCGACTTGGACGTGGTGTTCTTGCCAATCCCCATGGTGTCCAGCACGTCCAGGACCTGCATGCAGCACCCAGGAGGTGCCTCTGGGACAGGCCAAGAAGCAAGGACAGCTCTTTATTCCAGCAGCAGCAGCTCCAGGAGTCACTGAGGAGCTCAGTAATCCAGCTGGGACATCAGTGTGTCCTTCCCATCAACGGCTCCTGGGAGGGAAGAGACAAATTGGGATTTTTAGGAGTGTCATCCTGAATTTGTTTCTCACCCCAACATTCTCAGCTGTATGAAGAACACTCCAAGCAATCTGCCTGCTGCTGAAGGAACTGTTTGAGGATAAACCCTGTATTTTAATGAGTTTCACTTCTCTTTTGGCACAAGAACTGGAAAGGTCAGACACCTCAGTGGGTCACTCCAGTACAGTTTTCCCACATTTTCTCCTTAAATCAGACCAGCCAGTCCATTGTTATCCCACATTTTCCATTTCCAAGACAAAAGAACAGGAATTACCATATTTGAACCTAAACTCCCTACAGGACAGCACAGAAAAATCCAAGTTTTGCAACCTGTGGTTACTGAGCTTTAAACAGAGAATGCAGCTGCCAACACCTGCAGGTGAAACCAGGTCAGGTACAGGTGAAAGTACAGGACAGAACCTGCAAAAATGGCCTCTTGAAAGCCACAAAAGGTGGAATTTTCTGCACTCAGAACCCACCCACACTGGAGTTACTTCAAAAGCAGGTTAATGATGGGTTCAGCTGAACCCTAAGGTGGAAGCAGAGCTCATGGACACTCAAATACAGGTTTGGATTGGAAAAAAAGCAGCAGAACTTGGGTTTTTCCTGAAGTCTCCTTCCAGATGCTGCTCAGGAAATGCCAGCAGCTCCTGCCTACTGTAATTGCAATAATAGCTGAACTTGGGAAAGACTGCTGAGGGCAATTCAGGACTGTACCAATATACGAATACTAATATTTTAGAACATCTTAATAGATGTTAATTGCCCATTTGCTGGGAAATTCTCGTTCCTTGAGGTGAAAGAAATATTAAAACTTTCAAAGCAATGTAGGTATCTCCTGAAAAGTTACACAAAAAAGACAATTTGGGCACTGGGATCCCTTTGAAGCATTAATTAAACCAGGATGGGATGGAAGGCAGTGCCTGCAAATCAGAGTTAAGGTTTGTTTATGAGAGTAAATATTAAGGTGGCATAATTAATTATTTCTCACTTGAAGACTGGTTTGAACACTGTTTTGCTCTGGGAAAAACCTGCCATTGAAGAGGAGCTCTGAAAATGGCAAAGAGCAGCTGAGGGCAGAGAGGAGGCAGGTACTGGTTAAAGGTTTGGGGGCACTGGGGGGTCTGGGCTGGGATTTTTGGAGGGTTTTTTGTTTGCTTTCACTGTGGAGCAATGAGATTTGGGGTTTTTTTTTCCTAGCACACATGAAATAAGAGAAAAGAATCTCCTTTTTCTGTCATTGCAGACGTGTTTTATTCTCCAAGAAAATCAGAGATGGAGACGGGCGAGGTTGAGTCTGGCAGCTTTATCCCCTGGGACTGGGAAGGGAAAGGGCAGCAGGACACCTCCCTCAGCCAGAAAAAACAAATAAATGTGAGCCAGGCAAGCTGCCAGCCCCAGGATCTGCTCCAAGGTGCCCTGAGCAGCATCCCTGCCACCCTGCACAGCAGCAGGGCTGCAGCAAAGCAAAACCCCTGGGACCTGCAGCACAGCAGCAAGGCTTGCCTTGGACCCAAGGATGGCTGAGGGCTCACTCACCATAGCTGAAATAACAATTCCCAAACAGGACACTCCCAACTGACAGGCCAAAACCCCTCAGTGCTGCTTTTCCTGAAGAGAGGGAGGGTTTGTGTCACCAGGGGCTGCTCCAAGACAAACCAGGAGAAGGAATTTCCCAGCTCTTCTTGCTTCTACCCAGCAATTAAAGTTGCACTTAATGGCACAGATGATCATCAGAGGTTTCTGGAATGCTTTGATTCCAGAGGAGAAGACAAACTCTGCTGCTGCCTGAAGCTATCAGGGAGAGCTCACTCCTTATCAGCCCCGTGTCCCACCACATGACTCAGGCATTTTTACTGCCCTGCAGAGCAAATCCAGCTCCCCAGGAGCTGATAAGTCCTGCAGAAAGAGATAAAGCAGAAGAGATAAAACCCATTCAGCACGGGGCAGGTAAGCTCAGTACAACCCATCACCTGCAGGCTGGGCTCCACTGGAAGGGCTGCAAGTGAAATTTCTGCCAGGACTCACCTTTTCCCACATGAATTATCCAGTGCACACCTGTGTCTAACACAGAAGGCCAGGAGAGGCCAGGCCTTTACAGTGCTGCAGATAAGATTAGCATTGACACAAAGGGCAGGGGAGAGCCCAGGTGCAAGTTCAGGAGGAAAAGCCACTCTGCACCTCCAACATCTGCCTGTTCTCCAGCAAACAGCTCCTCCAGCCTCAGAGCCACCAGGAGGGGACAGGGAGAGGTGGCAGGGTCTGGTGTGACACAGCATCTCCTTCTCCACATCCTCCCTTTTGCCAAGGTCGCTGCTATTTTATTTAAACAAATCAGGATGTGTCGCAAAGCTCATGGAAAAAAGATAAAACCCATCAGAGATACTGAGATGTGTGATGCAAGACTGTGTTTAAATGCTATTTTTTATCCCTGCAAGCCTCTGCTCTGGAACCTCCACCACAAATAAAAGCATGCACTGGAGCACAAAGGTTTTCCTGCAGGAAAATCTGCCCCTGAAAAGCTCCCACTTCCCGAGGTACCCAACTGCCTGTGAGTCAGTAAAAACTCAACTCTTTAGGAGATCCAAGGGTTATCCTGGGCAGGACAGAAGGTGCAGACACACATCAAGGGCTTTGGCAGGGAAAATAAATTGCCATAAATTAAATTGCCATAAATAAATTGCCATGGGAGGGAAAAGTGGCCACGAACCCCCCCAGGAGCAGGCAGTGGGACACAGACACCTCCCCTGCATGCACTGTTTCCTTCCAAAGCACTGCATGGAGCTTTTGGCTGAAGCACACCACAAACACTCCCTGGATCAGAGCTGCTGCTGTGGCAGTTCCTCCCTACCCTGCTGAACACCTTCAACATCAATATTTGAATCCAGAGCCTGGCAAAGCAAAGGCTGGGGAAAACAAAGCCCACCTGACCTCCAGGCTGTGAATTCCTGGCAACTGGCAAGTTCTTGGGGCTCTTCTCTCAGTCTGGGTTGATTTGGGGTTTTTTAACTCTTACAAGAGCCAGTGCTTTGCCAGGTGCTGTTGGCCTGGCAGCACCAGGACTGGGCATGGCCATGCTCAGGACATGGCAGGGCTGTTGTGAAGCTCATTTGAAATGAGCAGACCTAGAGATTAAACCCCTGGAGGAAGCTCAGGCTCTCCCATGACTTCCAGCCCTGAAAATTACAATTTTTCCAAAATGAAAGGATGCAGCCCTGTGTGTTCCCTTATTTGCCAAACTCAAACCAGAGGCTGAATTCCAGCTGGATCCTGAATTTCCCTCAGCTGAGCCGAGCCCACCACCCAGTGACAACCAAAATCATTTACACTTTCCCAGCGCCTTCAGACAATCCCTGCAGGGAATCAGGACTGGCCTGAATCTGGTGGCCCTTCCCTGCTGCACAAGGGGAATATTCCCAAAGGAAGCACCACAAACAAAGGCAGCTGGGGATGGGACAGCCCACGCCTGGGTCTGTCCCATGTCACACCCCCCGGGGAAGGAGTGGTGGCACAGCACCAGGACCTTCCTGGCTGTCACAGACGGCTGAAGAGCCAAAAAACCTCTGGCTGTTGCACCCACTGAGGAGATTAGAATCAAATTAAGGTCACTGCTTAATTACCATCATCAATTTATAATTTTAATGAGCTGTCAGGCTCGTGTGAACAGACCAACTTTCTCCTGCAAGCAGAGATGATGCTCAGCCAGCGTTTGTCCCGCCTGAGGTGCCTCTGGAATTTCAGCACCTCCCTGGCACTGCCAAGGCTTTGGCACCTCTGGAACTCGGGCACATGATGGGTTTTAACACAACCAAGGCATCCTCTAGGCCTGAGATTGGATTTTTGGCAGCAGAGATGTGAAAAGGGACACAGGCTCCCTTCAAAAGAGAACTTTGCTGCTCAGAGGCGTCCAAAGGGTGCTGGATGCTTTCCTAGGAAAAAGGTTCTCCCCAGTTAAAAACATTCCACAAACCTCTCATCACCCAGGTTTAAAAAGCTCAGTAAATACTTGAAGGGTGCAATCAAAGTCCTGTCTGCAGAGCCACAGCCACAAATCCAAGGTCTCCATCCCAGATCTGAGCCTGGGTACTGCACCTGTGAGGTCCCACCCGCTGCCCACAATGCAGGCAGTGCCTCAAAGTGGTTTTTCTGCCTCCCAGGGCATTTTCACCACCTCACAGATGTGAAAGAGGTGCCCAGAACCCACACATTTGATCTTCTCTTGTAAAAAGCACCCTCCTGCTTCACTCTTGGAGGGGTTTTTTTCTTGGAGAGTTTGGAGCAGCCTCTTTGGTGCCAGGAAACTCCTGATTTACCTTTAGCAGGGGCCTCTCCAGTTCCTCCCCACTGAAGCTGCACTGAAAAGCCACCACATCCTAAACGCTCCAGAGATTCATCTTCTCTTGTAAAAACCACCCTTCTGTTCAGTCTTGGAGGGGTTTTTCTCTTGGAGAGTTTGGAGCAGCCTCTTTGGTGCCAGGAAACTCCTGATTTACCTTTAGCAGGGGCCTCTCCAGTTCCTCCCCACTGAAGCTGCACTGAAAAGCCACCACATCCTAAACGCTCCAGAGATTTCCCCCATCCACGACAAGAAAAGCAGACTCCAAATTTACCAACACAGTTCATCTTTACCTGCAGCAGAGACAAATAAAATGCTGCTACACCCCAAACTTCCTAACATCTGAGTTCTAAAAAACTCCATTTCTGGTTTAAAAAGAGCTGATGGGCACTTTAAGAAGTTTCTCTCTTCACAGCTCTTCAAAGCACAAACATATTCTTTCTTTGGAGGCACTAATGAATTTTTAAGTAGTTGGGATTTTGACTGCCACCCAGAACGGGGCTTTAATAACTGACCAACGTTATTGGGGCAAGTCTACACAAAGCTAAGCAGGAAAGTTATGCCGAGCTCAAACCTTCCATGTATTTAAAGCACATTAGCTAAATCTCATTAACTTCCTGAGTGAATGAGCTTGTTG